GAATTAACAGGAAAAGACTTTAGACCTAGCTGAAAAATCTCTGTCTAAGGGGAGGATAAAGGCTAAGTGGACAGTATTATCAAAGGGACTTTAACCTTTTTGCAGCATAAAGCTGACAGGATCCAGACCTGCAAATGCATTTGTACTGTACTTGGAATCAAGGTTTTATAGGTTTAGAGGAGAGAGTCAATATCCTTCAAGTCTGCATTTTAAAGGAGAAGTTACTGGGGAGGAATCATTTGAAATATGAGAGAGATTCAGCTTGGAGCATATGCATTTTGGCAGCTCTACAAAAGTATGCTTTGCTGATCCATAGTTTTGGATCATGCATGGGCTGGTGCTTTTCTCTGGGAGCTGACGAGCAGGTTTATTTAATAAGGGTTATAGTGCCTGATAAATTAGTTGTACATGCATGCAGGGGGGAATAACATATGTAAACTCAGAAGTGTTTTTCCTCCCTCCTTGGTATGTACGCGAAGAGCTTTCCCACATTGCTGCTCTAGAGAGAAACCTTTCAGTGCAATTTCATTGATGTGGCCTCTAGTGAGCCTCAGCGCCTCTGCTCTTACTTTTTTACTCCTGTACTTGCTTCCTTTAACAGGCTGTAATAATGCCATTTTTTTAACCCATCCCTCTGCTGGTCTTATATTCTTCCTATAGATGTTTTAGAAGGGTTCCAGTTTATTGGCCGTGTTCCTGTGAGCTCCGTGAGTGGGGACTTGTGGGACAGTTTGGAGCTCTTGGAAAGTGTAGTAGATTCAAAGATGATTTCCCGTCAGTGCCCGCAGCCTGTTCTTAGCAGTCTGTACTTCGCGACTTCTGAAAAGTGCGTGTGGTGGTGTGCAGTAAGCATCCTATGCTGTCTTCCTGGAGACAGATGTTCTCTGGTTGTTCACAGCAAAGGTGACAGCGTGAAAGTAGCAGCTCACACCCCTGTGCCTTCAGTGGGCTTCAGTCTTTAATTGGTTGGATCACTTCTTAGGTTAAGAGACCAGTTCCGTCTGCCTATCTAATTCGAGAAATTCAGCCATATAATTCAAGTGATGTGGTGGACATATGGCTCCGAGATAATAGACTCATGCTAAGTTATTAAGCATATAATAGCAGGAATGTACCACGGCTTTAAGAACATACTTCACCAGCAATACATCACAACATACTGTAGGTAGTGCTGTATTTAAGAGCTGTTGTTCAGGCGTAAGGGTTTTCCAGTGGTTCTTACCATACGTACCACCATGTTGCTAAAGGTTATCCATCTATATTTTCATAGATTTCATAGACATTTGGGCTGGAAAGGACCCTGGAGGATCATCGAGTCCAGCCCCCTGCCCAGGGGCAGGAAGTCATCAGAGATCATAGGATCCCAGCAAGTTAAACATATTTTATTGAAGATAGGATGGATCTTCCTCTTCTCTTAAGGACTCATTTAAATTTGGGATCTTGCACTTCTACATGGGGCTGTTCTGGTGGTCTGGAGCTCAGGTCTGCCACATGCGGATTGTGAAGTCCCTTGTGTCCCTTGATGGCAGGTACTTAGCCCTCTCTAGCACGTTGGTAGCATTTTCGTTCTGCTGTGTTGTGGGCTATACGCTGCTGGGTGAATTTCATCCCTGCTTCTTGATCTCACCACTCAGTAGAGATATGCTTCCATAATAGGAACATCCTTCTCAGCTAATAGTCTTCACAAATGGGAATTTCTAAAAGAATCTTATCTTTGGACTTCTTTAAAGATGAAAAACCTCTCTAGAGCCTCATTCACCCAACTTCCAGAGGCAGAGGTGGAAACTCACACAAGATGAGGTTGAAAAGGAATCGATTAGTCAAGGCTCATGTGCTTCATAATCCTCCCAAAGCATGTAGATTGACTGCCTCATCAGAAGGGCTCTAAATTATATTTTGCTACCTAGCGTTCTGGGTCATGTGCATGAGGCCAGCAGACCCCGGGCTAGTGACCTGGAGACTGTGTGCCACTCCAATTACACGTTATTAATTACCCTCACAATCACCACAGAGTTCCACGTAAGCGAAAAGAAATTCCAGATCCCCCCAGTTTTTCGTTCTTTATTCTGTACCACAGGGAAGTAAGAGTAATGCACATTTTTTTTCTTTTTCCCCCCCCTGGTCTGCCAGGGATGTTATGGTTTTAATGCAGCTCTTTTTAAATGTGACTATTTCTGTTAAGGGCAGTTGATGTACTTTGTAATGCAACTGAACAGCCTACAAGCTATCTTCCCCTATTGTGTAAAAGTGATAGGTATGTTTTCTAATCAGATATAGAGCAGAGCTTGCTGTCTGACTTGTTTATGCTTCATTTCTTGCCATCAAGCTTAGTGAGATGCAAGAAGATGTGTAAACATATAGATTGGGTGCGGATGCATGTATATACATCTATACTCTACTGAATAAATGAAGTGCTTTGCCGCTGTCCATTTCTGTTGCTGTGATACAGATGCATTTCACTGAAATTAGTAGTATTTCTGGGAATACCTGAGAGATCCTACAGCATTGTGGAGATGCCTGATGCATTGGACAGCAGTCAGCCTATTAACTGATGGATTGCTGATTTGGTCTACAGTCAAATTCCCCCCCACTCCCCTTTTCTTTTTCTTATGCGTGCTTCGCTCCGGCTCAAAGAAACAGTTAGTGCAACATGAAGACGTCTGAGTGATCCCCTGCTTTATCACAAGTCCTGTGCTGGGGCAGGGTTAATTCCACCAGACTTCCTTCACAGTTTCCACTGAACCACTCCTTGGGGTTTGGGGTTCCTTCTTACCACTAGCAAATTGGAAAGAACTTGGCACCTAAATTCAGAGGATCCCATACAATCCACCCATCTCCGTTCCTTTTTAAAGTTGTGTTTAAAGGTTCCTGACAGTGTTTCAGAGTGAGTTCGGACTTCTGTGCGCGGGCATTATAATGGCTCCAACAGGAATCGCAGCCAAAAGAAGTGCACCAAGGCAGGGTGAGAAGAGCTCCAGACAGAGATGCAGGAAACAGTACCTCAGTTCCACTATTCTTTTTTTGGAAATGCTTCATTTTTTTTCCCCAGGCTTTTTTTGCTTCTGTGCTAATCCATGAAACTAAGAGACAAAACAGAATTTGCTAAAAAGAGCATTGGGAGTCTCCTGCTATCCCTGGTGTGTCTGGCTGCAGCTCTGATCTTCATTGCCTCTATCTAATAAAATGGCTGCTTCCTGCTTCATTATTTCATAGTTAATTTTATATCTGGAGTTTGGCGGAACAACTTATTTTGACTTTGCCCTTTTACAGTGGATCAAGTGACTGGAAATGATTATATTCTACTACAGTTTCCTTTTATCAGAAGCTTTGTGGAGAACAGTATTATTCTTAACTTGCTTTTGTGTAATGTGAAGTGGGTACCCTCAATTAATGTCCTGATCAGTTTTCTAATTAATTCCCTATGGTTTTATTTCATTGTTGCTGGTACATTGAATCCTGAGAGCAATTCTGTAAACTGAGTGATTCCATTCTAAAAGGAGAAGTGGTGAATTATATAGTAAAGGGTATAAGGTTTTGAGAAATGCAGAAATTTTGAGCTTAGGAAAAGGAGGCAGAAAAAGGATTAGACTATTGTTGTTTAAAAACTGCTAGAAACACGAGATACGCTGTGCGCCTTGCAGTACTCAGAACTAGCAGGACTGTTGTACTGGTGACACCAACCCAACTGAAATACAGGTATGCTCCTGTCAGCCTGCCCTAACATGAATTATGGCATTACAGAGCTGAAGTATGGACTCTGGTGTGAGAACTTGTTGTATTGTTGTGTGCAAATGCTGTGGCAGGCCAAATTGTGAAACATCAATATTCCTTGTTTTGAATTTATGCAGTGATTTGTTATTCTTATTTGTTTCCTGGAGGGCCCATAATGTGCTAGCCATGCTGTACAAATACTAGAGGAGGGATGTACCTTGCTTCTTAAAAAGTGTTTTAAATGCTTGTTTTCAGTGATGCTTATTATCTATTTTCATGGTGCAACATGGGTATTTGCTTATAATCATAATATATCAGACCAGCCTTTAGAAGGTCAGCAGCTAACCTTGCTCAACTGCTAAATTATTTTTTTTCTATGTGAAAGCAGGAATAAATAATGAAAGTTAAGCATCCTGATTCATAGATGTTAGGGTTGGAAGGGACCTTAGCAGATCATCGAGTCCAACCCCCTGATTGACGCATTTTAATTCATGACAGGAACAGAGAAAACCTGATCCAGCCCTCCTTTTTCCTGTATTTCATAACATACAGAATGGATATCTTGGTTCCAAAAAGCAGATGTGAATCTAATCACTTGTTAATGTTACCCTCTTGCCATAACAGTGAACAGCAGTAGAGGAACTAGAACTCTTAACTGCAAGCTTGAGAAGACAGGAGTACAAAACCTTACAATTATTTCACATTTGGAAATGTATCTTTATATAGGCATAGACATTTTATCTGTGTGTGTGTGCATGTGTGTGTATGCATTTATATATGTTTATGCATCAAAGCCTCAGGCCACTAAATATGCTAGGAAAACTTCCTGGATAGCCTGATCTGAAAGAACCAATACAATTTGTTAAGTTTAATCTGCTCAAATTGCTGTTTTTCAAAAAGTGGGTATTTAGCTGAGGAAAACTCATTGTTTCTTTGCTTCTTTGTGATTTGTGTTGCACAATGTAGGACTACAGAACAATGTGAAAACATGGATAGACCTAGATGTAGCTATATGATTTTGAGAAAAAAATCACTTTTCACATTCTGTCGGCTATTTATTATCAGTTATATTGCACAAGTCTGAGTGTCCTCAATTAATTGGGGTCTCACTGTGTAACTGCACACACTTACTACTCCTAGAAGCTTATGGCTTTCAACTACTACTGATAATACCTGTTTATGTCAAAGTTCACATCATAGTCTAAGCAAAAGTAGTGTTGTGCTGTGTGCTTCGTGGTGGAGATTCAGCATATGAAATAAGTGCCTTTTTTTTTTTTAATCCACTCCAGTCCCAGATAACATTGTTCTAAAGATACTGGCAGATCGTCTAAACAGACTAGACTGCATGACCAGTGGTTGGGTGCTGCACGGTTTCCCAAGGGACCTAGATCAGGCAGAGCAGCTGGAAAGAATAAGAATGATTCCAAACAGGTAAGACTTTTTCACAAAATGGGTGGTAACCATGTTATTCATTTATAGGAAGCAAGAATAATGTCAGACACTTGCTTCTGCTAACTTGGGCAGTTTGTGTTATAGAGCCTTCCTACTTTCATTAATTATAAAATATAAAAAATAATGCTTCCTTGCAGAAGCAGAGCATACTATTTCTTTCATCCATTTCTTCTGGGCTCCTGGAAAAGCCAGCATTTCTATGGCTAAACTCTTGTCCCTTTGGGTGGTCCTCTTTTAATTTGTCGGGATCCAGCCAGGAACTTAAGGGTAAGATTTGAAAAGCTCTCAGTACTGGCCTGACTCAGGTTGTACTGACATCCTCAGGACTTTTACCAGTGACTTCTGTGGGTGCAAAGTTAGGCCAGCACTAAGCATTTCGGAAAATCCCACTACGTAAAGAGGCTCTGAGAAGTCTTGTACTTAGAAGTAGGTGTGTCATTGTGACTATGCAAGCTTTAAACCACAAACTAGTTTATGCTAGTTGTAAGGGACCTGGTCTAGGAGTCTAGGAATGCGTTATCACAATGTCAGGTGCTTGAACCCTCCTTGTTGGATGATTATAGGGGAATCACAGCGACAGATAACATCTTATTAACTCTAACCAGGGAAGTAGAAGGAGTCAGAGTCTTTCTCCCAGAAAGAAAGGGAGAGAAATAAGGGCTAGAATAGAGAGATTTTGCAGAGAAACAATAAAAACAGCCAAGCTTTGGAGAGAAAGCTGTGGTTGATGTTTGCCTTAGGATTGCATATGTGAGTTACCATTAACACACTGGATTATATCCAGTGTGTATGGGTTGTTTGCAGCAGGGTGGGAAATACACTCATTTACACTGGTGTTGGTGTGCTCTCATAGAAAAAGTTTACTATTACTAAGCCTTCACCATGAGTTCAGTTTCTTTTGTGTCTTGCATCAAATACTTAAAGACAATACAAGACTCGTTTATTATTTTAGCTTATTAAAAGAGTGTTCAGGATTGAAGTATTAGGGAAACGAATCTTGGGAGACGGATTACTCAACCATTTTAACAGGACTGTTATGATGTCATGAGACTATACTGTCTGCCGCCATTCAGGTGTGAAAAGTGTTCAAATGACCCAACCTGGGGTAGGTGGGTTACTTTGCTCTGCTTAAACCAACCGGTTTCTCTTGCATTGAAGATGCTTGTGTGGGCAGCCAAAGGTAAGTAAGCGGGGTGGCGCTGGCGGGTCCATGGACAAGGAGCTGGTGAGTCCGGGGGCGGCGGGCAGTTTTGGGGGGATTTATGGGGGTGTGATTGGACTTCCCAGCCCTGGGGCTGTGCTGTTGGTTCCTTGCAGGCGTTTGTTTGGCCGGGTTAACTCATTTTACATGGGGTTAATCCAGGCTGAGTTAAAGTTAATTCACCTCTAAGATGAACTAACTTTAGATTGGGCACACCGTTTTTAGCCCTGTGGTTTCAGCCTCATGAGTGCTTGCATGTCTAGCCACTTAGATCACCCTAAGCTTGATTAGGGCGATCTAAATGCAATGCTTGTATGTGCCCTCTGTGTCTGGTCTGCAGGAGACACAGGCCGGGGCTTTTGGTTCTTTGGTGTAACCTGCAGAGACTCCTGCTTTCATTTCTAGAGGTCCCCCATTCATCCTCGTGTGTTGATCAAGCCAATGGCTATCATAAGTGCCGACATTTGAAATTCTTGATTTCTATAGTTTCAGGAAGGCTTCCCCCCACCCCCAGAGTAGCACTGAAAAAGGAAATTCTAATATACAAATATTTAAAACAACACTCAACTGTCTAAATTTTTCCTCCCTGCACTGCTTTTCCTTGTGACTTGTACCCAAGGATACAGTAGGAAGAGTAAAGGTAGGATTTTGCTGGAGTGAGACGGAAAGAGGAGGAATTGTGGATATGAAAGGGTAGGGAGCTAGCAGGCATGGCAAGTGCAGCTTAAAAGGAGATTATGCAAAAACAAAGGCCTTTGGTATAAAAAGATAATTTAAAAGAAATGTTTTAAAATGTGAAATAATTTCCTGAGAGACTTCAGATAGAGAGAGAAAGAGGCTGAAACATGTTAGATGAGTTTCCCAGGAGATGCGTTCAAATACAATTAAAAAATTAAGGATCTGAGTGTGTAAAAACATGCAGGAGTAAATGAATCCAGTGGGAGTGCTCACACGCGTGCATGTGTGCAGGGTCAAAGCCTAATAGTGCTCGTAAAGTGACTGGTTTGTAATATCTCCGCGGTGAAAATCCCATGCTCATCTGTGCACTACATTTCCATTGACTTCAATAGGAGCTGCACATGCGTCTCCAAGTGCAGAATTTGGCCCTGACTATTTTACACCAGGGCTGAAGTAAGGAGCAAAAAATAGACCTCATGCTAACCTGATTGATTTTGGAGCTGATTTCTTCTATGAAACCGAAGTATCAGATATATACAAAAAGAGAGGGAGATTATAAACAAAAGGACGTAGAACAGCACAGGATAGCAAGGCAGTAATTCAGTTCCAGTTCTGATGCTAGTTATAAAACACTATCTGCGGTGGTTGTGTTTTTGACATCAGGAGAAAATTCTGATAGAATTATAGCCTTGAAATCAATGTGGGAATAGCATGCAGAAATCTATAAATCAGACACAAAACAATCTACAAAGTCTCATTTTTAGGAGGGCTCTGTTGATGAAATTAGATTAAAATAAATTTACATATATATCAAGTTTATTATTAAAATCTAGTCACATCCGTAAACAAAATTATTTCTGAAAGTGTACGTTATACTGTGTTTTGAACTCAAAGTAGACCTCTTTGGCTGATCAGAACACAGAGTTATTGTCTGGTTGTCAAGTCATAAATCTGTTCTTTAGAGCTAATAAATGGTTAGTGTTCAAATACTATGTTTTATCTGACTCCCACCTCATAAACCTAGTGCACATAATACTAAATTATATAGCATTGAGCAGGATCAGTCTCCTGACTCTTCCATCTTATGAAAAAAGAAACAAACCTAGTAATTGATGGTAGAAAAGAAGGAAAATAAAGTTATTTGAAAACAAAACAAAATAGGCTATAAAGTTTGTTAAAACATAATAGTAAAAAAATCCCTCTCATACAGCATCAACCACTGCATCCAAAGAACTGCCCTAGAACAAAGAGAAAAATAATTCATTTCACACAGAAAATGTAAGGTATTAGATTTTTTTTTAAATTAGTATTTGCAGGAGAGCAAGGCTAGTCTACAGACTGGAGCAGGAAAGCCTGTATTGTAGCAGACACGAATGTCCTCTTGTGCCTCTACTCTTCTGTGCTCTGAGAAGACATGTATTGCCTTCTGCAGTCTTCCTTACAATGCAGTAACTGCTTAAGTGGACAGGATCTTAATCGTGTTGAACTGTGGCAGCCTTTAGGGCAAATAAGAAGCTGAATCTATTAGTGGTCTCTCGGCTACCTACTAAAAGAAGACTGTTAACCACTTAGTGGCGTAGTAACAGGAGTCCAAATGCAATTTGATCTTAGCTTCAGAAGCCCTGGACAGTGGCTGCTAAGGGTTTAATTCAGTCTTTTATCAAAACAGGTGTAATATGTTGTTTTAACTGTTTCTGCTGTTCATACTTAGCAATAACAGAAAGTAGATTATACAGCTCTGAATGTTTCTGATATACAGTTAAGCCTCTCTTTAAAAAAAACTTGCATTATGTTGTTTATCCTCCTCCACCCTCTGTATGCAGTAGGCATGGAGTAGGCCTGGGCAAATTGTTCTCCAAACACCTGGAAAAAAAACAGAAGCCAAATCAAGTATCAAACTTGGATTTTTCTGTAAAAGTAAGAATTGAGTGAGACAGAGCTACAGCTCTCTGCCATACTTACAACTCAAAGTTCACCACCAACAATCTACTCTATTATATATCTCCTGCCACTAGCTTCATCTCCGACAGCTTGCGTCAGCCAATGCGAAACAAAATGACAGACCACGCTCTCCTCAGTTAGGGGTACAGGACCACATTCCTCTGCAAACTGACTGAACTCGCCCAGGCGTGCTAAAGAATAGAACTTGCCATTACACGGAAGAAACAGTGGGAAAACAGTTGTTTCATTAATATTGTATATTGAATGAGTGTATACAGGACTTACACAGAGCATATAAGCAGCCTGACCTTTAACTCAAACCGTGGACTATAAAGTTTTTTTTTTTCAATGCCCTCCCCTGAAACTCGTAGAACAACTATTCCTGGCCTCTGTTTTCTACTAAGTGAAACTTTTCTCAATCATTTCTTTTCAAGCTCTAATTTTCATGACTTGGATAAGTCCAGAACTGGTTGGGTTTTTTTTATTTGGGTATAATCCATAAAGCCCTTTTAGCTATTTGAGCAAAAGGAAACATGTTTCCCTCATTTAAATTCAGACTCTATTTATGCTTTGCTAATTAAACACAACACCTGCTAAAATCCACATTGGCATGTTTTGATCCCTCGTTGGAGACTATGCTTCAGAAAGTGTTTCAAACGATGGCTCGGCCTTCATGTCTGCTGTGGACATTGCTAGAGCCATGAATGCCGAGAGAGCAGAAGTATTCAAGGAATCATATGGGCCTTGCACACCTGAGCTACGTCCTGCTTCTTGCCAGACTTTTGCTGGCCTCTTGCTTTTTGCCGGACACCTGGGAAAATGGACGTTTGATAATCATGTGTGCTTGCAGAATCTTTCTGGTGGACTTTTCTACCATAGGTGGCCCTGTGGCCTGGGGTTTGTTGGCAGTTTTGCTGATAAGCCTCAAAACGTGTTTGCCTGGATGTAATTTCTCACTGATGCCTTCAGCGCCATGGTCATTTGATGCAATGTACAGATAGATCCTTTTTCTAGCCCTCTACCTTCTTTTTGTCTCTGAGGTGTGTTCTCTTGAGCAAAAGGAAGGAGCAGATCAGGATGGCTTGTGTCTGTCTTACTGGAGGATTCACATGGGACAACAGATCTTCCTGAGAGCCTGAAGAACCTTTCAGGTGTAATC